CTCGACAGAGACCGCCGGGTGCATGCGCTCTTCGACTGAGAGGTGCGTGCCCTCTCCCTCTGATCTGTGCGTCGGGTGCATGCGCTCGACAGAGACGTTTCTCTCTCCCTCTGATCTGACCGCCGGGTGCATGCGCTCTTCGACTGAGAGGTGTGTGCCCTGCCCGCCCGACATGCACAACTCCTCTGCCGCCCGCTCGCTGCCCCTCCGCCCGACGGTCACTGTTTCCCCGCCCGTTCCGGACCCGGCACAGCCCGCTCGTCTATTCGCCACCCGCTCCCGACCCGTTTGGCCATGGGGCCGTCACGCGAGACCTCCGCCCGCCCGACGCTCGCTGTTTCCCCGCCCGTTCCCGACCCGGCACAGCCCGCTCGTCGATTCGCCACCCGCTCCCGACCCGTTTGGCCGCGGCGCCGTTTCGCCGCCTGCTCCTAGCATGGGCCCTGGGCCCATCTCGACTTTTCCCAACACTGGCAGCGGGTGCTCGCGTGGGACCGTCACGCGAGACCCTCTATTTGCTTTATAGTATTAGAGAAGAGTTGTAGGAGCAAAACTCACAAGGTTGATGTAATTCCACCAAGTGTAGTCGAAAGCTTAAAGAGTTACAAAAGTTGAAATAACTATACCACAAACACGAAGGTAGAGACTTAAGAGAGAAGGCAGAGTGCTGTTTCTCGCGACCCTTCTCCCACGATCTTTCTATGAGACAAGCTGTGTTAAAGAAAAAAGTCCTAAGCAATTAGAATATGCCCAAGCACTTCTTCTAAAGGATCAGATCTAACACGAGGTATATGGGCTTAACAGATACGTTCAGGAACGCTGCAGGAGTCCCGAGCAGGCATACTAGGAGTGGCAGTTAATTTCTTCAAAATCTGCACACTTCAAAGAGCTGGGAACAACTTTTCGCAGTAATTAGATAAAGTTCGATGTTACTGTCAAGCCCGAAAGGGGAGGGGTGGAAAAAGTGTGAAGCCCGAAGAAGTAGCATACCTGGATAAAGAACCCACCAAAGTAGAGGTGTTTCAAGCTCTCAGGGATACGAAGCCGAATGAGGTCCCCAGAGAGGATGGCCTTTTCAAAGAATTCCGGGTGGTGTCCTGGAACACCCTAGGAGAAGGCTTCATGAAATATCTGAGCGAAATTCGTCATTTAGAGAACTTCACAAACAAACATGAAAAAAAAAAAACATAGCATGGAAACCTAATTCCAGCTGCTCACCTTTGACAGCTCCATATGATCCTCTGCCTTTGACATCACCATCAACGACATTTGCAGTGCACTTTTAACAGACTGCCATGTCACCAAGAATGGTTCCCAATTCCACCAGCGAGTTCTTGATTGGTCATGTTGCTTTGCGATGTTGTCCACGACACCCCACAGAGCCTCACGCCATTCATGCAAACTTGTCACTGCCTTACTTATCTCAGCCCATGTGAAAGAACGACCTTCAGACTGCAGAATTAACTCCTCAATCCTCCTCAGTGACACGAAGAGTGGATAAAACCAGGCAACTGCTCTGTGAGCTAATGTCATTCTACCCCGCGATGCAGGCCTTGTGTAATGCCAATAGGACTGCCCTAAAAGGGTCTCAGACATTGAGTGCCCTGGTTGCTGAACCAGTTCCAACATCCCCATTTCGATCTCTGATTGATATGTGCACTTCCGTATTGCTGCCAGCTTGTCTGCCTGATCTGTGAGGCATTTCCAAATCTGCACAACCCTCTCAACCAAAGTACTTCCCTCACTGCTGGTGGCAGGGGGGGGAGGAATTTGTAAGGCCTCCAAAAAATCCAACGCTCTATTCCGAATGCTTGCATCAGTGCTTAGATCATAAGGCAATGATGGAATAAGCTCCTGCGCAAGCTTAGCCAGTTCACAGAACTGACTCTGGAGCACTGCCAGTGCAGACCTCCCCAACCTGTCCAACTCGCCACCCACCATGTTGAGCAGCCTTGATAGAAGAGACATTGCAGATGAATTCAGACCACAAAAGCACATCTGCAGAAACTTCAGCCAGAGGACGCGCAGTGGAAAGTCAGATGAAGACTTCTCCAGGAAGCAGAGACCTGCAATGAATAACATCTTGCTTGCTCGCCTACCCTCTTGTCTCAATCCATTACCACCAATCCAATCTTTGTCACTGACATCCCAGTCAACCCCAAGATACAGCTTCATTAACTGGAGTGGAAGGGCCGGTTTCACCTGAGAGTTGGGTAACAAGGATTGGAGCCCGTCAGTTAAGCGGCTAACGATTCCCTGTGCACGCAGTTCTAACTCTGCTGCCATGTGCTGGTGCAATAAGAAATAGAAGTATGCTCCGTCCCTCCTGATTGTGGAAATTGACGAGTCCATGACAAAGGACTCCAGGCGCAGAGGACATGGCCATCCACCTGGGTAGACTAGCCCTGTTTCCAGCCAGCTGCAGCTTTCATTTCTTTCTTCCCCACCGAATGCAGACATCTGCTTGGTGAGGATTTCCCTCACTAAGTCACGGCTATCGAGTGAGTCAAGCCGGCGAACATATACCTGTTCCCAACTTGCCACCAATCCAAATGCAAGCGATATTCCTCTCTCAAGTAATTCAACAAGTAAACATGCCCATCGGGTCATGTCTCTCAAGCTCACAACTGATTTACCATGACTGGGAAGCACTAACATCTGTACTTCCCTGTGCGAGCGACACATCATATCCAGAAGCTTGGAACCAGGAATACCCCCTGCAGCCCCAAGAGCTGCCTTCAAATCCAAGGTCTGAACATCTGGGAGAGTTTCAGCATTCACAGGTTCATGCTCCATGAGTAACTGTGGAAGCCAATCTGGAGGCAAAAGGAAGATCTCAACTCCACGGTTTCTCATGGCACGGGACACTTCGCCATGCCGAGAATCGAGGGTCAGAAACAGACGGAAGTTTGGGTGTGCTTGCACAAGCATTGGCTCCCCGTTGATCAGACCTCGCTCATTAACCAGAATGTTACCTCCCGGTTCCAACAATGGGTTTAAGCGATCAAGCACCTGCATCACCGCAAGTGGAAGAACCAACAGCAGAACGTTACTTGATACTTTAGCATGTCCACATCCCTACCATAAAGTGGCATAAACATAAATAAAAAATGACACACACAGGGGAAAAAGGGACGCCTCTCCAACTGCCGTCCTGTTCATTTTAGGTCAAGGATTCATAATTTTATAGTTACTCTCGATCATATAAATACAGCAGCTATTACTCTTCAATATCCTTATGAAAATTTGATAAGATCTGAACGTTTCGAGGATGCATTCATTTTGAATTTGATAAATGTACTGTTTGCAAAGTATGTGTTCAAGGCTAATTCTTTAAGCCCAACCAATTCAATTACCTGTCGAATCTGGACAGGACGGCCTTTCAGGCCTTTTTTTTATTGTCATTACAGTATTACGGGGAACCCCGTATGTCCTGTTAATCAACCTGTAGTTGATTGGAATATTCAACAAGATATTAGGGGGGGGGGGGAAAGCTACAACATTGTAGCATTGATTTTGGAGTCTGTATTTTCTGTGGAAATTGTGTTGAATATTTGTCCAACTACTTATTTATCTATGAATGGAGAGTATGAGCTTTCTGTATATGATCCGCATGAACTCAATTATGATCAAATAGCCTTGGGACGGTTACCTTTTAATTCTTTTCAAGAGGCATCTTGAGAAAATATGAGAATATTCAATTGCTTGAATATTTGCAAGGAACATGAATATGTACGAAGCACAGAAATCCAGATTGCAAAATCACACTGAAGTCCAAGTAGTCAAAGCAAGAGCAGATAGCACAATGGAACCGAGTAACCATCCATTTGAGAACGATACAGAAGAATCGTGAGTCAATGTCCAAGCCCAACAGGGCAACACCAACAGCATAACCCAATGTAGCTCTCTCTCTTGAATGGCGCCAGGCGCCCTGCCTACTCTACAGCCTAACACTACAACTACAGTATGAAAGCAACCAGACAACTTGACGACCAGCGAGTGATGATGTCAACACCAATGCCGACCTCCCATCTCCACCAGGTACGTCTCCCTCTTCACCCACACTCTCCCTTGTTATCCCACACAGCGCCCTTCACCTCCGAAGAACCACCTTCGCCCTTCCTCCTCTGCGCCCACAGGCAGCCCGGCTATGGCCGCCAGCGCCCTGCGCCCAGGCAGCGCTCTACCGCTTAGCGCCTGCCTGCTTCCCTCAGCCTAGCGCAGCACAGCAGCTCGCAAACGCGCAGCGTGCCGGCATTGCCCGCAATGGCCAAGATCCCTGCCCACTCGCCCTCCCTGCCTATATGCCAGTGTTGCGTGTGGGCGGCCTCCCCTGAGCCTGTGCCTGGGCCCCAGTAGCTGTACCCAGGCCCGATGTAGTTGGGGGCCCAGGCGATGCAGTTGCGCCTCTTTCATCAAGGCCTGCGGCCAGATTCAGATAGTGGACCGGTTTCCCATTGGCATTTTCGGCCTCTATATCCAGCATGCATTGTCGGCCTCATGTTTATGTGCCCAGGGCCTAACCAACTCTGGGGCCCTGGGTTTCTGCATTTGCAGAGCTCCGATACTCGGTGCACTCCAACCAACTGGCGTGCTGCAACTGTATGGACCCCACTTCGTGAAATGTTTGCACAGAGGGCTCTTGTTGATTTGCTGGCCCGCCTTCACTTAGGGCGAGCACGAGGCTTGCTGGGGCCTTAGCCCAGAACATGTACATCATGGCAAGGCCCCTTCTTGAGGGCTCAATCCTCACATATTCTTCTTACCTTACTTATTTCAATAGAACTAACGTACAAATAATTTTCTTCTTTCTCAATGTTCAGTTGTTGCGATCTCTCCGGACTTCCAATCGTAGGCAATATGTTTCTTGCTCCTTGTTAAGTTGTTCGCATCAATTTCAAAATGACTGCCTCTTCAAAGTTGAGTCAACCTTAGCTTCCTACAAGCACGTAGGTGGGAAGTCCATACCGTTGGATTGCAGAAATTTGCATTCTCAAGCAGAACCCACTCCCCACGCTCAAGTGCCTTGAGCAGAATGCCATCAACCCACTGAAACCTTCCAGCGCCCGAGTTCCCTTGGCGTAACCGCAGCTCAGTAACTTCCCTCTCCAGCTTTGCAGGCTCCAATTCAACGCTCAGCTGCATCCCTTCCCAAGCCTCCATGACTTGCCTGATCTTTCCAACGAGCTCAGAAAGTAGGTCCAGTATCATACATTCAATTGTTCTCTTCTGGCCCAGTGATCCTTCCTCAAATTGTAATCTCTCGACTCCCACTGCTAATGAAGCTGAATCGCCCCACTGCAGCACCAATGCTCTCTTGTAAGCTTTTTGAGAGTCGTAAAGACTCTTTACAGCTGCAATCCTTCCCTCAAGGCTTTCCCTGGCCATTCCACTCTCCCCAGTTGCCGTGTTCATTCCACCAGAGCTCAGGAGTTGTGCACAGACTCTTTCTAATGCAGCCATAACCCTGCCATCAGTCTCCCGCAGCGATCGTAAGGGGTCATACTGCTCAAAACAGCCGAGCAGTTCTGTAGTATCGGTTGCACTTGTCAGTGCATATTCATGGAGAACATTACCTGTCAAAGCCGCAAGTGAGCGCACAACTGATGTCTTTCCTGAGGCAGGCGGGCCAATCACAAGGCACATCCAGCCACTCCTTATGCAAGCTGCCACATTCTCCGTAGCGTTCAGCATGCCTCTAAGCAAAACTCCTCGCTGGACTTGAAGGACAGACCCTGAAGTGCTATCTCCACCCAAAACGTTGGCACCCTCCAAACCTGCTCGGCGGGGAACAGCAGCATTCCCAATGCGAAACACACTCGGATTCACTGCCACATCTGGATATACATTGATTGGTGGAAGACGCCCAAAAACATCGGCATACAGATCCACCACATGCCTTCGATCATCAGCTGTCCGCATCCGCTGCAAATAGACGAGGTCAAGGTACCTCCCAGGGTCAACCATCGCCAAACTGTCGGTCTCAAACAGACCACATCCTGCATCAAAGGAGATCAGACAAGCCGCTTGTCGAACGTCAGGGACAAGATTGATCATGAGCCAATTCCACTTGGCAAAAAAGAGAAAAAAAGAGCACTGCATATCGCCTACTCAAAGGCCTCAAGGCCTGCAAGGCTATTTACTTTTCGAACATTTACTTTTCCACACAAGTTTTGGGTGCACCACATGTTCACGTCCACTGCTGGTGTAGACGAGATCAATTTGGCTCCAAAAGAACTCAGATCAAAAGGCTTTTGAAAACATTTCCTATTGCAGAGAATTCAAAAGATGTTGCCAAATGAGTTGAAAGCATACCTTTTGTTATCAGTTCACACCATCGCAAAATATCCCGCAGGTTGAATTCCCAGGGAGAACCAGCTTGCCCATAGATACGTGATACCATAGTGTCGTCAAACAATCGTGCATTGAATTGAATCATCTTCTTCAGCAATGGGGTTGGTATGGCGGGATAAAGAGCATGAGCGATGAACTCTAAATCTGCAGCTTCCAGCAGTTCCACAAAAACCTGCACATACAAGGTGTATAATACATGTTATGACAAAGGTGTATTCCTACCTACGGCAAGCACCATATCTGGATTCTCTAGATCCTGCGAGCGTCGCATGCAAGGAACCAGTATGTGAGAACACAAACTTCGAGCAGAAAAAAAAACATTGAAGACCATGCATGACTTGACCAAACTGAAAGTAGATTTGACAAGGCCGGGAGCACACTAATGCAAAAACACGCAGAACACTGACATCTCTTGACAATGAACGCCCTCTTCACACCTCCACACAATCAATACAACAACATAGTAGTAACGCTAAGCTATGACGTGACCACCTATACTACCCCGCTCTTGCCTAAAACACTACGCACCCTTCTCCCTCCCTCCCTCACTCACTCTCTCTCTCTCTCTCTCTCTCTCTCTCTCTCTCTCTCTCTCTCTCTCCCCAGATGTCGCTGAAGAGGCTGATCGCATGGTTTCCCTCCTGTCGCACACCAGGTAACTATCCACCGTCCCCACACCATTCCTCTTCTCCCACAGATATCCCCTTCCACCTCGCCATTCTTCACAGCACTACACTGCACTGCCTTCTGACTCTGGTGCGCCCACATGTGCGCAGTGCATTACTAGCACCACCACCTCTGGGTGCTGGCTGCAAGCAGTCACACATGTAATAGCCCGCTGCCCAATATGATTTCCCTGACCCAGCCTCCTTGTTTGTTTTCCTGGCCGGGTCCGGACTTCCTGTCCAGTAGCGACTGCTTGGTCCCTACCGGGCCAGGTAGTCAACCTGGTCCGGGCCCCAACTTGGGACCTCCAGGATAACTACCCCATGTGGCCAAGGCTTGGCCTGCCTTTCTTCAGGCCACGGCCTTCACTTAGTGCCACCAAGGCCTCAAGGCCTCACATGGACATTCTTAAAAAACAAAACGAACAAAAAAAAAAAAAAAACGCTGTGCAGCTCCACATGTGAATTGAGCTGGAGGAAACAGACTTCTTTTTTTTCCAGAAAGGGCGACGGCCTTGAGAGATTATCATTGGAGTGAACCGCCCTAGGTAATTGGGAATCCGAATAGTAGCATTTCACTCATTTGATTCAAGTGGAATTCGAACTCCAGGTCTGTATTTCAACAGTTCAGGGGTGTACAAACTGAGCTACTGACTTCATTCTGATTCTTGAAAGAAAAGAGTACCTCAAACAGATACAATAACTTGGTAAAAAACAGATGCAAGTGATTGCGCAAAGTTCAAAATTTGACATATGACATGTCAGACTGGCTATCGAGCATTCCTAACAGTGGCGTCAGAGCAGTTCACATCTGTTACATATTCCAGACCTCAACATGCCATGTCAGTGCCAAGTCACTGCAACATCAGTTGCACTGGGAGCTGGGAGCTGGGAGCTGGGATCTGCGCTTGTTATATCAAATTCACAGGATGGATTTTGTCGGAAATGTCTGATGCTTCTTGAAGTTTTCTATTTCCCAATGACAGCTCGTTCCAACTCATCTCGCATTTTTCGCCAAGGAGGGTACTCCCACACATGAACTGGTTATCAGAGAGAGGGTGGTATACTGCTTCTGTACTGTGTTGGATTGAATAGCTTAAGTGAAGGGCTTGTACACTCCAAAACAGAAACCCGAAACTGTGACAAAATTGGAAGTACGTTAAATAAGGCCAAAAAAGAAAACAAAACAAACCCTTAAAAAACGACAGAAATGAAAACTGGAACTTTACCCCCTGAACAACCATTTTGATGTTTGGGCAGTTTGACCTCAAAGCAGACAGTGGCACTTTGGATAACCACTTGTTGCCTTCTGACTATCAGAGCCAGGGTGTGCCCAGGGTGTGCACAACAGAAGGTCCTTCTGTACCTTAGTGAAGCGATTCAGAAATGACTTTGGAAGTCCTTTGCGACCACCCCCTTGCTGCAGAGGATTTTGGCAGGCAAATATACGGAATGAGCTGGGGCACTTAAATGTCTGATTCAGTTCCGGGATGAAGACTTCAGCACGATGATCCAGGCAAGCATTTAAACCCTGTAAAAGGCAGCAGCAACCATGAATGGCACAATGTTAAGAAGTGCTCCTTTTCAACTTCATACTTTCAAGGGAAGCATAATGCTGAGTCGGTTCATTTCTACTCGCCAGTGGGAAACGAACCGGATAGATGCTCCCCAAGAATAAAAAGGAGACAGGACCATATGGCCCTTTCATTTACTGAAGGAAACAAAAACGAAAGATACTCTCCTTATACTTGATGGGATAAGCTTGTGAATGATCCAAAGGAGTTTATAATATAATATATTTTTGATCACTCGTGCCGTATCATGTGAGCTAGTCTAAGCACGATCCAGCCTACAGCAGAATCAGATATCCTTCCCTACCACTGAACACAGTTGCTTTTCACGTACACAATGGTTGCTCTGCTTTGGAAGTGCAGTGCTTTCCAAACTAATAATAGTAAAGCATGGGCATTTTGCAACATATTTTCACTGATCTGTCAAGAAACTTCCATACACTGACGATTCACCTACAACCACAAACATGTCTTGGACCTTCTGTGCTTACACACTCACCTCGAGTATTGACTGAGATGCGAGATTCAGCTCGTCTAGCAGCACCCAGTCACCAGCTTTGAGAGCCTGGAGGAACAAATGCAAGAGTTAAATGAATGCAGAAAGTTAAAAGCCAGCGCTCACTCAGCAAAAACACCATCACTTTGATTCGAGCCATTAAGATACTATTTGAGCAGAAAATCAAGAACAAATAAACTCCCTCCGTCCTGTATTTGGACGGTTGTGTGTAGTGCAGTGCCCGAATGAATGTATAGTTGATTGGTGATCAGGACTGCTCTGTCTGTGCAATTATCTGTCATCGTTCTTCCAAAGCTAGCTCTCGAAGTTGTTTCTTGCATTTGCACGCAGGCTGTAATCTTTTTGAAGTCCCAATGTTATAAATGGATGCACCAGGGTACACTACCAGGGTGATGATGGAGCGCTGCTAGAGATGGATGTGGACGGGAGGGAGGACGTAGGCTACTTGCCAGCCCAGCTCCTTACTGCACTTGACACTGGAATGCAGCTACTGGGGGTTGGACACTCCGCATGGGAAATCGTTACAAGGAAATGAAGGAATGTGGACAGCAACTGAAAGGACTACTGACCATCTTGCACCGGGAGAAACTTCACCAGAACTTGGAAAGAACTGAGTTTGGGAGGGAATCTGAGTTTGAGAAGGAGAGTGTCATGTCTTGGGCATCTGATTTCTGCCAGAGGCCTTGAGCCGGAGGCAGCAACGACGGAGACCATCAGTTCTCAAAGTCAACGTGTGAATGGGCTTGAAGATACAATCATTTCTTAGTTTCACCTCATATCATAGCAAGCTGTCCCCAACCTCTCATCTATTGCACATCCACGAATGACAAACAAGAATCTCTTTTTCATGAAATGACGCATTGCGAGACTGCATTTAAGAAATTGAAAGCTGCCTTCTCCAGTCACCCATGCTTCCAGTTGTCCTGCTTTGCTCTTTCTTGTCGCGACCGATGCAAGTCAGTATGGCATTGGTGCCATGCTGCAACAATGACGGGAATGGTTTGCATCCAATCAAGAACATGAGTAAACGCGTGCCATCTAAATTCTCTGCTTCTACGTACGAGTGGGAGCTCTACGCACTCCAGGAGGCAATACTCTATTTGAGGCACTGCCTTCTTGGCTACCACTTCAAAGTGTTCTCTGATCACCCGACTTTGCAGTGGATCAAGACAGCCCAAACTGTCAACCGGACTGTCTGAATGGTGTCAAGACATGATTTGTTGACTGTCTGAATGGTGTCAAGACATGATTTGTTGACTTTGAGCTGAAGTACAACAAGGATTGTTATAACCGCGTGGTCAATCCTGTTTCTCTCACCCCGATGCCCCAAGACCCGATTTTTGGGCCTATTGTGAGGAATCTGCAGGCCGACCCTGCCTTTGAACCGGGATATACTCTGGTTTCAAATCTGCTGTACACGTGCAGTAGAGGGGAGGAATGTTTGTGCATTCCCCAGGATCGCAAGCTGAGAACACTCTTCATGTCGGAGTGTCATGGTGCTCGTGGTCATGTTGGGGCCCTCAAATCCTATGCGGCCCTGTCGCAGAGGTTCTTCTAGAAAGTAATGAGGAGTGACCTGCTGCACTATGTTGAAACCTGTGAGTTATGTCAAAGGAACAAGGTCGTATATAGACCTCCCCTTGGCCTACTCAAACCACTTCCCATCCCTGAGGCACCCGCACAATCAGTGTCTATTGACTTTATTGATTTAGGTAGGACCACTCCTCGTGGTATGCGTCAGGTCATGGTTTGTGTGGACAGGTTCTCCAAATACACAAAATTCATCCCTTTGCCAGGAGAAGCTAGAGTTCCTGCTGTGCAGGCAGCATTTGCTGACAGGTCACACACCATAAACCACCCACCTCAATTATCAATGACCGAAATCCCCGTTTCTGCAGCAATAAATGGCAGTCCTATTGCAAGGACTACCTTCATTCACGCCTGGATATGACATTTGACATTTGGTCGTCATCCTGAAGCCAATGGACAGGCTGAAGTGATGAACCAGATCTTATTTCATCTGCTGCGTCCTGTGATCAGTCCAGATCAGCAGGACTGGGATCTGCGTTTGGGTTGTACACAGCTCGTGTATAACACGTTTGTCCACTCCTCCACTGGTTTCACAACCTACCGGTTACAATGGGGTCGTGAACCACGGCAGCCTCTCGATGATATCATTGACAAGGCTACCCCTACATTGACACCTGGGACTGCAGAGTTCACCAGACGCGATCAAATAGACATTGAGTGCGCCCGTGCCAACCTGCTCAAAGCCCAAAAGGCTATGATTCAACAGGCTAACAGGCACTGCCGCCCCTCTACCATTCGCACTAGTGACTGGGTTTGGGTGCTCAATTATGAGTTGTCACACAAGGAGGACATTTCACCTAAGTTGTTGCCACGATACATGGGTCCATGGAAGGTTTTAGATACATTGGAGGAACCCATTTGGACCATCATATGTTGTTGATCTCCCTCTGCATCTACAAACGTATCTGGTCTTCCATGCATCGAAGCTGTTGCCTTTTACATCAGCTGATGCATTTCCGGACAGACCCCCTCAATTCGGTCCACCGATCCCTGGCAAGGGATATATTGGAGTGGATTGAGGATGAGATGGGCACAGGTCCAGATATGCAGTATCTTGTGAAGTTCATGTACCAGCCTCACATTGAGGATCACTGGTTCACACGGAAGGAATTCCTTAAGACAACAAAGTCAGTCGTCCTCAAATACGAGGCAGCCAAGAAGGGTCAATCCCTTCGGCACTCTGCTCGTCTACACCGCTAGCTCGGAGGAACCCATTTGGACCATCATATGTTGTTGATGTCCCTCTGCATCTACAAACCTATCTGGTCTTCCATGCATCGAAGTTGTTGCCTTTAACATCAGCTGATGCATTTCTGAACAGACCCCCTCAATTCGGTCCACCCATCCCTGGCAAGGGATATATTGGAGTGGATTGAGGATGAGATGGACACAGGTCCAGACATACAGTATCTTGTGAAGTTCATGCACCAGCCTCACACTGAGGATCACTGATTCACACGGAAGGAATTCCTCAAGACAGCAAAGTCGGTTGTCCTCAGATACGAGGCAGCCAAGAAGGGTCAATCCCTTCGTCGCTCTGCTCGTCTACACCCCTAGCTCGGAGGTCCTCATTCCCGGGGAGGGTAGGCCTGCAATGAATTGCTGATTCTGCAGCCTGCGGCCCGTCAAACCAGGGCTGGAACATAGGTAGGTTAGATTACTAATTTTGTTTTGCTGAGGGCTAACCGTGATACCCACCTGTGGGGAAATTCATGAGGGACATATCTGCAAATTTGGGAAATTTTCAGGCCCGTACTAACTTGAATTTCCTATAGCCACCCTGACTGCGAATAGCAGGCCCGGACCACCCCGAGGACAGACAGGCCTGAGGGCCTACGCTGATGGACTGGTCCTATTGCCTATAGCGAGGTAGGGAGAGGCTGAAACTGAAACGACACCGATCAGTCCTGTAGGGTCCAGGGTAGGTCTAGGGTAGATCTATTAATAGAACGGGGACATCTGTTCGCGGGCTTTTGACGGTTGGCATTTTGCAGATCACGACGGCTCAACGCATGAACTGGAGTGGTGACAGCTTCAGCATTGAGGGAGACAGACATAGCCAGACCCTCAAATCGGCCATAGCTGGGTCCTTCGCTGTTCTCTGGCAGCACGTGGGGCTGCTCAGAGGTCTGGGCTATCTGAGTCTAAGGGGGGGGGACCTATCTTAATAACCAACTTATCGAATTGTTGCCATTGTTTTCGACGCGAAGGGCGAGCTTTTAGAGAAGTAGGTATATATATACCCAAGTATAACAAAACTCAGCTGAATGTACCTACTATAATTGAATTATTAAAAAACGGTGCTCAAGTTGTATGCTACATTCGGGGGGAAGTAATTGCCAATCTGCTAATTCCTAGGTAAAATCGAAGAGAGGAATTACTGAGGTAGTTGCTTACCAATACAATATCATTATTCTAGGAATAGAAATTTAGAGAAATAATTATTAGATAACTATGTCAATAAATGTATACTATATATCAGTAAATGTAGACTATATACAAACTCTAGCGAATTTTCTTTCCATCATAAAAAAAAGATAAATCCACTAGAATAAAATAAATAAATAAAAATAGACATATACACAGGGTTACCTGACCGAACGTTCGGGGGCCCCCGGGCTGGCCCCCGAACGTTCGGGCGTTCGCGGTCCCGTTCGGGGGCCGAACACCTCCAGGTTCGGCCCCCGCCAAAAAAAAATTCGGGGCCTAAAATTGATTTTTTTTTCTGAATGTTTTTTTGTGAGTTCTCTATAACGTAACCTACACGCCTATAAATTTTGAAACCATTCTGCTAAGCCAAAAAAACATTAGAAATCGTCAAAGATGGAGGTGTCAAAACGTGCTCGCCCACTCACTATTTTGTTTTTGTTTCACTTTTAACTTTTTGTTTTCACTTTATTTCGGGGCCTAAAAAATTTATTTTTTATGAAAAACTTTTAATGAGTTATTGATTACGTAAACTACATATCTGTAATTTTTTTCAGGGCATATGTCAATGCCAAAAAATAATTAAAAATCGGCAAAGATGGCGGTGTCGAAAAGGTGCTGGCACACTCATTCATTTTAATTCTCTTTTTTTTTTTTCTTTTTTTTATCATAGTGTTTATTTTCTGTATTTGATTTTTAATTCAAATTTGGTAAAGAATTTCGATGTAGTGCCCAGGCAAATGTTGTTTAGTTTATTTTTCTCCATAACATACGTTTTGTTTTAGGATTTTTTTGAATTTTTTTTTTTTTTTTTTTTTTGGTCAGCGTTCGGCCCGAACGGCCGAACGCCTTCCGAACGGGTCCTGTACGTTCGAGCGTTCGGCCCGTCCCGAACGCGGCAACCCTGCATATACATATATTATACACATATACATAGTAGATGTTTGTATTTTGTTTGAATACTTGAAGTTTAGCTTTTTTTAAGTTTTTTTTGTTGAACCTAGAAAAGCAAATTCAATTCGGCCCGAACGGCCGAACGCCTTCCAAACGGGTCCCGTACGTTCGGGCGTTCGGCCCGTCCCGAAAGCGGCAACCCTGCATATACATATATTATACACATATACATAGTAGATGTTTGTATTTTTTTTGAATACTTGAAGTTTAGCTTTTTTTAAGTTTTTTTTGTTGAACCTAGAAAAGCAAATTCAACTTTTTGAACTTTCATAAATAAAATGACAACTTAGAGCCCTATGTTTTGAGAAATACAACCGAAATGGAAGCCTAGTGTTTCTTGGTTTAAAAATGCAGAATCTCGTCTAAAACATCATTTATTGCATACTATAAATTAGAAAAATATAATGATTTTACAATAGAGACATATTAGATAGATATCATAATCTATATATTATATACTTGTATATATACTTGTCTCTCACTTGCCTGCTTTCATTAGCAGGTATTCCGCTGTTAACAGGTTTTTCTGGCAAAATTTTTCTATTTTGGTCTGCATGGCATTCTGGTTTTTATTTTTTAGTAGGGTGGTGTTTCCCTCCGGATGCAGTATCTGGGTGGCGCTGGTTGTTTCAAGGTTTCTGAGGTAGTAGATAGCGGTTACTCTGGGTAGGGGAGAAGCGCTGCTCACTCTCTGAGTTTAATAAACAGTGTTGATACTGTGTGTTGTCTATCTTTGCTTCATTGCTTTCTGGATGTGATCTACTCTCCTTTCCTTTGTAACTGGTTGTGGGGATTCTGTGGAGTGAATTGCACTTTCAGTGTGTTCTGTCATATCCAATGGTCAAGTCTTCCGCTGTGTTTCTTTCTCTCTGTGCGGTGTGATACTCCTATCCTCTCCCCTTCCTTCTGTGTATGTATGGGCATGCATGGAAGTCTATGTGAGCGAGTGTTGGTCTTCAGACAACAAACAACCAGGTTCATACCAAGTCGATGCAGCTTAGACAGAACATGTTGGGGTGAGGACATAACTAGAAACTTCAAAAACAACATTGCCAAAGTGAAAATGGAATCCGATTAGGACAAACATTTTCCAAGCGGGATAAGACTACAATGCCACATTTATTTTTTCATAAGCTTGCAATCATGCCTCAAGAATTTGCATTTGATGGAACTCCTGTAACAGATGGGCTTAGAAACAACGATAAATACTTGGTGACCGTAACCTACCTGAAGAAAGACACCATCTGACCATTGAAACTGTCCACCTTGACCCCCTTCAGACGGCAGATCAGAGCCAAGTAAATCCATCATGTCAGTCTGCACAGGACAAGAACAAGGAGGGTTATGTTATTTATCAAGAACAAGATGACTATGTACTCCTGATTCACCACACATCAACAGACCACAAAAGCTCGCAGCCGTTACAACGCCTTTTTCTTGTTCTTTTTCAAATCAGGGCCTTGAACAACCTCTACATCCGACACTCTTTTTCGCTACATGGGATTTGTGTTGTGCCGCTTGTGCGCCAAAAAAACAATGAAGCATCGCTGCGCAATTTTTTTTCCTTTTTGGCCAGTGCTGCCAGCCAAACTGATTTGAGAGGCCGAGCTCCTTAGGACACGGCTGATATACCGCTTTGGCCGAGCTCCTTGGGACACGGCTGATATACTGCTTTGCCGGAAGAAAATTAGCTGGGCAAAGTAGTGGTGGTTTAAGGTCCTGGATGCTTCCTGTTCTGGGGGAGGGCAGCAGTCTCCATTTCATTTCTATTTTCACTCTTCAAGGCATTCTCTTCAGTTTTCATTTGCATTTGATGCTCGAGGGTTTGCGTTCACATACAAACAAGTGGTGGGCAAAATATATGGCAGCAATGTGTAACTGGGTACATAAGAGAGAGAGAGAGAGAGAGAGAGAGAGAGAGAGAGAGAGAGAGAGAGAGAGAGAGAGAGAGAGAGAGAGAGAGAGAGAGAGAGAGAGANGGTGAGAGAGAAGGAGAGAGAGATGCCACTTACTTGCTCTGACAAGTTAATTCGCACAAGACGATGGCCCGAGGCAGTTGCAATGGCAGAGATGAGGCTGGTCTTCCCAACACCAGGACTTCCTTCTAGCAGAACTGGCTCGTCATAGACATTTTGCACAGGAGGGGAACACCCATTTTTCACAATTCAAATCAAACAGGATCAGGGTGCAGCAAACACAATGGCAGCAAGGTTACTCACAGAGATGTTAGCCAAATTGGGTTCATGGGAAAGACTCCGAACAAGTATATACCTCGCTGTATGAACGGGCTAAAATTGTAAACGCTTCTATTTTCTTCATGATGGGGTTCTGTCTTGGTAAAGAAAGCCCGTTGTCCACCTCCAATCATAAAAAAATCAATAGTGTAGAAGCCCTACTTGCGGTGTGACCACTCTATCGAATTCCTACTACCTCTACCATGGTCACCTATCTACAAACCGACTATGCCCATGAGTTAGTCGCCCGATGCTGCTTCAAGACTCTGCTCATACAGACTTCCCTCACCAACACCGAGTAAGAACTGCCTGTTCCCACTGGCTTCCTTCTTCCCCAACCTCAACGGCCCACCACTCAGCTATGGCTGGTGACTTTCTCGCAGCCACCGCAGCTGCTCTCTTCTTCCCCACGGGGTGCTGTTTTCCACCTGTTGCCTGCCAGCATGGCCGCCCGCAGCATAATGCCCAAATGTCTGGGCTGTGAGGCCTCCCTTCATTTTGAGGCTTTCAGTAGGCCACCAGCACCCAGTAGGGAGTGACTAAAAGCCTACTGGCCCAGGCCCAGCCTCTGTAACTAACTCGCAGGCAGGTCCCACCGGGTAGTTACAAGTGCTGGCCTCTGGCCAGTCACACGGAGCGCTCTGGCCGGCCTTCACTTAGGGTCGGCCCTACTTTCCTGGCGCACCTTCACTAATTGGTTTCTTCAAGGACCTTATAGATCTATTTTTGATAATTCTAATAGCTTGATGATAATAGGTTCACCTGCAATGAGTGGATATGCTTTTTTAAATGTTATTGTTGAAGCTAGTTATATGCCTTTCGCACAGGGCCTTTTCTGCATGGCTTAGGGCCCTGAATCCTCACAACAGAACCATATTCCGGAAACACAAAAGGAAGAAAAAGAAACACAAAAGGCTTTCTTTTGCTGTGGCGGCAGCAGAAGGCCACTGTCTTTTCGCACCGGCTGAGGGTTCAGTGAGTTCATCTCTCTTAAACCACCAGTACTTCCTAAAGTCGTGCCCGTTCACAAGCCACAATTTTAGGAAATATACGGGCCGCTACAGGAGGGGTCAAATTCATCCGACTAAAAACACTTCTACTCTATTTTTTTCCCGCGGCCAATAGCTGGGCAGGTACTGGTGGTTTAAGCCTCTCCCTTTCCTGACCTTCAGTGGAATGAGCACCAAAATTGCAAAGGGACGGAAACTGGACACCTGTTTTGTGGAGCAGCAAACGCATGGAAGACAAGAATAGGTGATTGTGAAGGCAGTTCATAATGGTTTAGGACATTAGCAGTGGTGGCATGCAATGGGGAAAGTGTGTGGAAACAGAGAAGAAATGGCAGTGGAGATCCAATCACATTGAAAAGGAATCACTACGGAACAATAGCATGTTGGTGTATGCAAAAACCAGGAAGCAAAAAACGCTACAATGTCCAAAAATGTGCAAACAGAGAAGAAATGGTAGTGGAGATCCAATCGCATTGAAAAGGAATGACCACGGAACAATAGCATGCCAGTGTATGCAAAAACCGGTAAGCAAAAAGCGCTAGAATGTCCAAAAATACACACACACACACACACACACACACACACACACACACACACACACACACACACACAAGAAAGAAAGAGCTGGAATTTCAGCAAAATGTATTTGTCGATTTAAGGATCTTTGAAACAGAAGAGGCAATATAAGAAATGAAACATTGTTGCAAACCCACATAGCAAGCGTGAATGACAGGAATTCCCGATATCAGTTGTCCTTTGATTGCTGCAGTGTGCCTGTCTATCTAGCTATCTATCCATCTATCCATCCTTATCCATCCTTTACTCTAAACGACTCCACTTGACACCAATCGACTCCAATCATCCATCCCTATCCATCCTTTGCGGCTTTACCTGCTGCGTGCCTGCCTGCCTGCCTGCCTGCCTGCCTGCCTGCCTGCCTGCCTGCCTGCCTCTCTCTCTCTCTCTCTCTCTCTCTCTCTCTCTCTCTCTCTCTCTCTCTCTCTCTCTCTCTCTCTCTCTCACTCACACACACACACACACACACACACACACACAGAGTTGTCGCAGTGCACCTGCCTTATCTATCTATTCATCCATCTATCCATCCCTATCAACTCTAAACGACTCCACTTGACACCAATCGGCTCTAATCATCCATCTCTATCTGCTGGCATGGTTTAGATTGTGCCTGGCATGGGGCCAACAGCCGTGACAGTGCTTAACTCCCGGATTACCCGAGCAATGGCTCTTCCCCTAGATCAAACCCTCTGAACGCACTCCTCCAACCGCACTCCCTTCGGCACCTCCATGCTCCATCCCTAGCAACAACACTTCTTGATGTTCTCCCCTAGTGCTATGCACCTCTAGCACCCCGGCTACGACCCCGAAGTGAAATCCAAATGACACCCATGCACGCTGCTACTCCCAGGTGTTATGCCAGGTGTTTTCACTTCCACAAACTCCAGGCCTACCCATCGAATGGAGCCATACAGATATAACCAGCCCAGGTCTTACGTGAAGCAAAACTGGCATGAAATTACCTTCGCCATAATGATCCCACTATGGTTCCATGTTCCAGATGCTTTACTTGCAGTCTGCTGAGCACCACTTTACGCCCTAACAGGGCCCCTTCCTCCTGCCCCTGCACCCAGGCATGTGAAATGGTGTATGCTGGTATGAGGATGCTAGGCCTCGGAGGTGCCTGTCGTCGTAATGTGTGCACAAGTAGTCCGAAGGACACAGCATTGCGAAGATGGATAGAACGTGTGTCATCCACATAGCAGGAAAACACTGCCAAACGTGAGCGTGCTGCATTCTTGTCTGGTAACGACCAATGTGTATAGATTTTCAACATGCCTTGTCCATTTTCAAAGGACATCATCCTGGCAAAACAAAGAAGTTTTTTCAACTTTTTAGGCAGCCGCATTTTTTTTCCGATTGTGAATCTGTGTGACTATGTGACACAAAGGCCATAGGACTTCCCATAGTTTTTCAACCCTTCAATCACATCCAACAGCACAGCTTTAGCAGTATCCCGTGCCCCAAGTGTGACGACACTCGGAGTGCATTGGCAATATGTCAGTCTTTCAAGGACGTTGCACTGTTTGCACATGCTTAAACTACCAGTACATCTGAGCCACTTTTTTGCCAAGGCGGAATTTCCCTGCATGCCAAGCTTTGCTGAAATGCCAGCCCAGCACTTTTTCTGGCTGCTGGCACCAAACATTTTGGTCTGGCTGGACTGAGTTTGCCTGGCGATGTACTGGACGGTTAAGGACAACCATCTTTGCCAAAAAGTGACGAAAACAATGACCCACTGTTTGGGGCAAACGCCGTACTCACCAGGCTTACGGAGCTGCATTGCACGAAGCACACGGAGCGCATTTCTGCTTGTTGTTGGTGCTCCAAGTTCAAAGCGGGCACCTTGGGTCGAGTGTGCACCTGGCAAAAGAAAATCACAAGGAAGGAATGAAAACCACAATAAACAATTGCAGAGTATTTGTCCCTAGGTAACCAACTCTCTATCTGGTGCAGAAGAGCGGCGACGCGGTACAACATTGAAGAGGAGGTTAGGGAAATCGTAGGTGTTTGACCAAGCACGAGGATCCACATGACACTGAGGTCAGCACAAGCAGCTTTCGAGTGACCAAGTGGTCAAAAGGGACAGAACAGGGAAGGAGTTAATGGGCAGGGAAGGAGAAGAGGAGGACAAGGAACTGCAAAAGAGGATCAGAATTGGTGTCCGTGACGTGAAAGAAAGAGGACTCGAGGAGTAGGGGAAGGTGGAGGAGGAGATCGCCGAGCAAAAAGGAAGCTCTGCTGCCTAAGGCTAGGTGGAGAGAGAGAACAGGGTCAGCACTTTGCAGAAGTGAATGGGACAGGAGTTGACAGCAGGATGTTCAAAGCGACGCGCGGAAGAGGCAGAAAAATGTGGAGGGGGCCAAAAGAGCAAACAAAGAGATGGAACGGATCCAGAGCTGGGAAGAGCACCTCAAGCAAGGATTCTGGTCAATTGCAACCCAATTTGGTATGATCTATTTTGAATGATTGTTGCAGTTGTCACTTTCAATTCCATAGGTTGGGTTGAAAAACAAAATTGTGCCTGTGAGTGTGCATTTTATTTATTCCTGTACTGTCTTGTACGCCTGACCTTACATGGTTGATTGCGCCGTTGTCACATTCACCCCGCCCACCCCACCCCGCCAAAAGAAAAGAACGAAACATTAAACAGCCAGGTTGCCAACATCAGATGTTCAATGTTCATACACTTTATCATGTCTTTGTTCCTACCATCTTCACCTGCATAGAACGCCTGGTCATTATCGCTGTATGTAGACTAAAAGTTGACCAGGCATTCTATTTGGGTGAAAACGGTAGTCTTTGCATGGATTGGTAGTTCCTTTGAAGATTCTAAAGCAAACACCTGAGGTTGTGTATCGCCAAACGAGAGAAGCATGGGGAAGCACTGGCCCGTCAATACATTAGATGAAGCATTATCGTTATGAATAACAATCAAGTGTGATCCATCTCTGGCAATCTAGTCGCCTTTCAAGGGGGGGGGCTGCTATGACCGACCCCACCTCCCATACCATGGCCTCGGCCAGATACTTCTGCTGGCAGGGAAGCTTCCTAGCAGCACCCAGTCACGCAGCAGAGGTGTCCGGGGGGAGGCTAGGCGCAGGGCGGGCCGTCCTAGCAGCCTCACAAGCCGCTTGTCTCCCATCCTCTTCTTGGCTGCTACGGTCCAGAGTAAGATTCCTATTTCTCTTATAACCCGTCTCCTGTTATACCTGTGTTGCCCCTATAGTGCTTACTTCCCTGTCCCCCCTCTTTGCAAACCTCCTGTTTCCTCGCTGTATGAATGATATGTTCAGAGATAGACTCCTACAGACCAAAAAACGAAATAGGCCTACAAGACTTTCCAACCTACTGGCCTACTGGACGGACCTACCGGCTGATGTCTGGGAGGCCTATGACACCTACGGGTTGGGACTAGGACACATGGGGCATAGGACTTGGAAATGGGACCGGGACTCTGAGATTCATGAAATCCTTCCACATACCTCTGCCAATATAAAAAGGGGCAATGCCAAACATTCCCTCTGGACATTTTCCAACACCGGTCACAGTCGAACACGAAGCTTCCAATGCATCATCATGCTGGACTTCCATTGCATCATCGTTAGTGACTCCAGATGACGAGAACAATCCTGTCTCTGTTGAAGGAACACAGGATGGATCCATTTCATTGCGAATTTCCTATAACAAGGCAAAAACACCGATCAATTACATGCCACGTACAGTGCAACAGAAACAAATTCACACAACGCACCCAAATGCAGACATTAAAAAAAAAAAAGCATGACCGTGCAATATTGTTCGCATCATCTTCTTGTCCTTTGGGATGGGTCAAGCCCCAATGTCTTCCACACGCCCTCCCTCCCTCCGTCCCTTTCTCACACACACATACAGACTCATGGGAACATAAGTGTGTTACAAGTGTCTCCACTTGTTTGCATGGTCCACATAAGTTTGTATGAAAAAAAAAAAACATCAAATGCCATGTTGTGAGTGTGTCCCCTCTCTACCACCCGTCCTAGAACATTCTCACAGTCCCCGCTGACACTTGGAGAGGAAACAGCTGCACGGACTCTGATTTTCGTTTTGTTTTCTTTACTTAGTGTTTAACTACTTACAGAACTCTCTGCCTGCTATTATCACCACAGCACAGACAATCTCTTGAATCTTTAGACACTGACTTATCATACTTCAAAACGTCAGCCTCCTGCTGTGGACGCCGTACTTCCATCAAGCCAAGAGATGGCATGGCCTTCGATTGTTTTCAGAGGAAACCCAACAGCCGCTGGACATAATGATCCAGTTGAGTTAGAATGATAGGGTTTCCTGGGTTTGTAAATAATGGTAAACACCATAAAGTAAATGATAAACCATAAGATTACAGAAATGAAATAACCAGTGCAACACATAATGACAATCCCTAGTGCCAACAGCATCCCCACATGAGCCAATCTGGAGGTAGCAAGATACCTCATTATCCCCCTCACATTCAGATTGTGTTCCAGTCATCTAAAAGGATCAGTGTTTATATCAGCATTCCAGGCCAATTCAGCAAAGGAGAAAAACACTAGGATCTCACCTCTGGAAGTCGACGAAGGAGATAGACATAGCATTCTTTACGCAGCTGTTGGGCAACTTCCTCTGACACTCCCATCCCTGCATAAGATATGCACAATAAGTATTGAGATTTCATTGTCAGACACCTTCCTCACGCTCAACTAGCAGATTAGGCCCTGACCATTCCAGTGAACAGTCTAGCTTCTCTGTGACTACTCTGTGATCTTGGCCGCTGAAATCGCAGTAGGCCCATGAAGACGGGGCTGGTACCAGCTACTTAAGAGGACAACAATTTGTGACATTCTGCACACACCCTCACACAGTGTGTGTTGTTTTAAAAGACCCCATATTCACTCTTATTCCCTTCACAAATCATCACAAGCCATCCGTAACGAAAAAGTATAGATATGTGTGTGTGTGTGTGTGTGTGTGTGTGTGTGTGTGTGTGTGTGTGTGTGTGTGTGTGTGTGTGTGTGTGTGTGNCACTCGCTAGAGATCTATCAGACCCACTGCAACTTTCTCTTTCTTTCGTTTTCCCTTTCTGAGAAAGGCGGCCTCATGGGCACAGACTATCTGCAGATTTGGCACATCGTTGAATGCCAGGGGGGGAAATAAAAAAAAACTTCGTGGCAATTTGCTTGCTGCTAGAACACCACAATGCTTACCCAGCTGTAGCTGCAAATTGGGATAGTATGATTGGGTAAATACTAAATAGTAAATACCAGACATTTTTCGCTTTTGACCGGGATTCGCACGACAAACTAGCATTATCTTTTTTCTTTTTCTTTTCTTTTGTCTTTTCTTAAGCTACTCTTTATTCTTCCCTCAATAACTTTTTTGCCTGTCACTACCTACCTACCACTACTCCCAAGGATACATATTAAGGGGACCCCATTTCTCACAAACTTAAGAGGGATTCATGTTGGCCCCCGCCCCAACAGCGGTAGTGAGAGGAGGGGTGGGGCCACCGGTGGGGGGCCGGCTAACGCAAATACCGAGCATTTTGCCACTAGCTGTGCCTCCTTTTTCGTCATCCCCAGCCCCCGATTGAATAGCAATGGTGTCTAAGCCCGACACTTTCCCACACACCGCACACAACCCACTCGCATTCACACTCATGCCGGTGTTGGCCAAAGACCCTATTAATACCGATCAGAGGTATGAAAGGGGCTATCATAGCTGGTTTATGCTCCCCCTAAACAATCTGTAGGCCTGGGTATGGGGAAAAATGATACTCATTTCACATTAGACGCAACAAGAAAGCATTTAAAGAGGTGGATTGGGGGTGACTGAACAGAAAACATGCACCATACTGGGAACCCCTCTAAGCGATATGTTACCTTCCAAATGTCTTCACGGCATCTGTGGCAGACATGTAAGCTGCAAGCTCCTGGAATGGCTCCGTCTTGGAGACCTGAGACATGTGACAGACGATGAACGTAGCTTTTTATCATATGACAAGGCCGCCAATGGTTGTTGCTTTGGTTTATAGTCATGCAACCCGGACGAAGCAGCAAGTTAAAGTGCCGTCCACGAGTCGTCAGCAACTCAAGCGCTCGTGCTGCTCATGAGAGAATCTAGGTCAGACTAAGGCGAGGAATGTCCGAGTGGAACGGTGGAGACTCAAAGAGAAAGTGCTTTTGAAATAAGCAGCCAGCCTGAGCCAGGAGAGAAACTGGATCGACAGTTTGCAGAAAGAGGAAGAAGTACACAGAGGAGAAGAACAAAGCAAAACATTCATAGAATGGCAGTACTCAGAAGGAAAAAAGGACTGCAAAATGCTACGGGTAAGACATGATGAAGGAGATCACCAGCAACATGGTTCCATAACTGTGAAGCATATTTTAAAATCAGGAAAGAGTCATAACACTCATAGCACTTTTATTACCCTCTCGCAGTGGCAGTCACACTCCAGGCCACCTGAACATAGTATGCATGCCCCCGGAAGGTGAAGAGGAAGGGTCGATTTCTTGGAATGGAATGTGCATTGTGCAGTTGCATAAACCCTTTCCCAACTAATGACGAGATTGTCAGTGCTTTCCTAGTACTAGGTCCCTTTCGGGTTAGGCAAGTACTGTGGATCCTTTGACTTCCAACAGGGACATAAGATTGTCAATGCTTTCCTACTACTAGGTCCCTTTTGGGTTGGGAAGGCACGACAGGTCCTCGGACTTCCAATAGGTAGATCAAGATTCAACATGCAGCAGTTGGATTTCACTGGTACCACCCAGGGTCTTTTGCATCCTTCCCCACAAATACTGTAACATAAAATAAAGGGGAAACTACGCGGGAGTCACAAAAATTATTTATAATTGCACTACGGGCCAAGATACAGTTTCGAATTGCATTTCAGGAAATGTATACAAACGAGCTTTCTGGCCAGGTGGGGTGCCCGAAGTGCAATTGCAAACTCTATCTTGCCCCATAGTGCAATTATAAGTTATAACCTGGGTTAAGCCGACGCCCGGTCCAGACGGACCGGGCCTGACGGACTGGGGGGGGTCCGCTGAGAGGAGCCCAAAAAACATCCCAGGAATTTTTTTTTCTTTTTCTTTGAAGATGGGGTTGGAGCTGTCTCTTATACACATCTAGATGTGTATAAGAGACAGGAGAGAGAGAGAGAGAGAGATCATATGTCTTGTTGAGTTCAAATTAGAACATATGAGGGGAATTCCTTTCTTGGCCTTTTGGCTAAGATCATGTGTAGTCTCTGATCAGTTTAATATCTGATCCGTGGTCCATTGGGCCACATTAAAAAAAACACAAAACATATGAGGGGATGCTGCTCGTAGTTCCGACGACTGGCTAATGACAATCTCTTTTTCCCACCCTTTTCTCCATGGCAGGGTGATCTTAGAGAGTCAGGTTAGTATGGAGATCGTCATCCCATTAATGGGCACGCTGCTCCGCAATTGCCTCCAGTAGGACCAGTACTGTATTTAGATAATAAATTGCGCGAGGAAACCATTCTCAACAGCATAGAAGGCCTCACCTCAGTTTTCTTGTTTTGCAATTGGAGAAAAAGAAGAAGACTGGAAAGACTGAATCCGGGGAGAAGAATGTGGACAGTGTATCCAAGAGGGAAAGGTGCGGTTGACACCACATACCTAAACCGATTCCATCAAGGAGAACCAAGCACGCCCCATGAACATATGCTGCTGCTCTGCCAATTGTCAGGGCTGCAACATTTATGTACGTCACCCACGCAAGAATATCTCGCACAGAAAGTGCTTTCCCGCCTCCCTGCAAATGATGGAACCACTGTACATACCAAGAAACAAAAATCAAAATTCAGTAAACGATCAGGACAATTTCACAAGCTGCCTCAGAACATACTCCCACGAGGAACTGGTCGACAGAATTTGGCTGCATTCAGCTCCACAGCAATTTGAGAAAAGTCCTAGTGTGAGTATGCCTCCTCAGTTCAGCATGATCTTACAAAGGCTGGGCACGTTCGCGCCTCGGGAAAGGGGCCAGAATTAGCACTGGAGGGTTGAGAATTAGTCTTGAATGAATTGGATGAAAGGTACTGGAAGAGGTCAACCGAGGCATCCCAGACTTATGCAGGCCATCCGCAGTCATGTAGTACGCATCAGGTGGAAGAAAAGTGCAAACACAGCTAGAGGCAGTCATGAAAGGTTTATGCCACTGAAAGCCTTGATCCCACTGGTTGTATTGTATCCTGTGAGGTTCCTCGGATGCTTCCGATAAGGCTTCATGGCCCAGTCCAGCAAGGACCTTCAGCTGTATGTCAGAAGTCTTTGCCAGATGAGACAACCTAGACAAGGACCTTCAGCTGTATGTCAGAAGTCTTTGCCAGATGAGACTTTCTAGACACTGGAGAGAAACCTGCCTAGGATAGAACATATTTTCTAGTGCACTGGTCTATAGTCTCGGGCCTGGAGGGGCAAATGATTAAACATCCAATAGTCTCTGGCCTGAAGAGGCAAATAATTATGCATGCGAGAACAGAACAAGGGAGGGGAAAACGATTAAACATCTAGGCAGGATCGGGCCGCCCGGTGACCTGGTCGTCGCCCGGGGGACGGGCCGGGCCGCCTGGCCGGTTGTCCTGTCCGGTTGGCCACCAGGTGACTGCAATGCATCACAGAGGGGGGGGAGGTGTCGTCCGATTTTGACGCCACCAGGGGGCTTTTTTCGCCCACAGCAGGCCCTCCAGGCCGAAGGAGAAGAAAAAACCCTCCTCGAATTTGAAATCTTGGCCCATCTGCGCCGTCGATCTCCAAGATCGACGGCCCAGATGAGCCAAGATTTCAAATTCGAGAAGGCGGGAACTACCGGCCCTCGTCCGCTCTCCCGTTACCCCTACCGCCCGACGGCTCCCTTCGGCAGTGTCGATTGTCGACGGCAGCTCTGCCAACGCCTGCCAACACCCGTCGACGCTCGCCATCGCGCGTCACCCCGCTATCGTGCCAAGTGGGTTAGTAGTAGTAGTAGTATATATATATAGATGGATAGATAGATAGATAGATAGATAGAGATAGAGATAGA